TATATATATATGTTTTAATTAATTGTTGTGTTTTGTTTTATACAATGTTTAGTACAATCACATTTGCGATTTTTTCTCAAGATATGTGCACTAATCGTAATTTAGAACAATAAGTTGATATTGAAAGTTGAGTTTTTAAATTGAATACTTGAGACTTTCAATCATTCCTCGAAATGTCTCTCATCATTGCCTCATTTTATCGATTTTTCCCTGCCATTCATCGGGATCCTTTCAATTTCAACAAAGTACTACTTCAGAAAGTACTCTTCACTGAAGAATCTATTCATCTTTCATTTTTTCGTTCATTTCGTTTTGTCTCTTGCTTCAGCATTCGAAAATGCTGGTACAATTTTACTCTCAAAAAAGCTTGCCAAGTGTCAAATTCATTGTGAAGCTGTACTCGTGATCGCTCCGGCGTATACATTTTGTTCAGTGCTCTTGCTTCTCACTCATTTATACTTTATTACTCATCTAACTTTTGAGAAAATTTGTTTTCAGATCGTTCAATTTCAAATAAAATTTATTTTGCATAAGCGATGTGATGGAGATTTATTGGGTTCAACGATTTTCTCGATTTTTATTGATTGATACGTTCACCATCCGAAATGATAAGTTCAAATAAATTCATTTCGAGCTAAGCTAGCCTCGAATGTATAAGTAGCAATCTAAAAACTTTATACTTATTATTCTCGTCATTCTTATATTTTCCTGCACCGCCCGTTTTCGCGTTCACAGTGTCAAGAAACAAGAAAAACGATTAACTCCGAGCAGTTTTTGAACAAAATCCCCTTCGCTTCTACGTTGCTTAAAACTTTTCTTATATGCAACCGCACGGTTTCCAATTATTTTATTGATTAATCATTTACTCACCGATATCCCCTGTTCCATCAGTTGATAATTCACTTTCATTTTTCTAATTTTGTCGCAAAACTCTTTTGATTTTGAAATTCTCTGCCATTGATTTCTTTCACTGTTTTTGTACCATTTTGAACCGAAGCTCTAAGCTTTTGATGGTTTAAATCTAACTTTCACCGAGTTTATTTGACATTCGAAGTTACAATGAAGCGGATTGATTCTCGTTGCCAATTTCAGGGTGTCATCAAAACCACTCTCTTGATTGTTTTTTGGCATTAGACACTTTTAACTTACCGTATTTTAATCTTCTCTGAGGTTCCTTCGTATTAAAATGTAGGGTCACGCCTAAAAGAACTCCGTTGTCATGCCTTATTTGATCGAATATGTGAAATTGATACATTTCATTTTATCCTTGTTTAAGGAACACTTAAGAAGAAAAGTTGATTAGAGCTAAACCTTTGAATCAAGATAACAACCTGTTTATGCACCATTTGCTGCCGCGCATGTTTATTGCAAGATTGCTTCATTATTAATTGTGAGTGCATTAATGCTGCCTGCATGCAATCAAATAAATGAGCACTCTTTGTTGTTTGATGTGCACTAGTTGTGCAGTTCAACTTCATATAACTAATTTTTCAATTTTATATATATATATATA